ATCAAGCTTAGGAATTTTTATGAATCGAGATATAAATATTGTATATATCGAGATTAACATAACAGAAAAATGTAATATGCGCTAGATTTCTAATAAATTTTATTAGGAATTGACAGGTTGATATAGGGATTCTTGCTTTATGCTTTATCAGAAAAGTAAAATTTACTGTACTTTTCTGTACTAAATAAGTAATCGTCGTATAGCTATACTGTAAGATACTTTTCATAAAATAAGTTTTATGTTATTGCAATTTATTATTACTTCTTAATAAATTATCATATTATTACTTCTTTATAAATTATCATCTAATTAGAATTAATTTACTTTATCAACGGGCATATTGCTTTAGCGCTCACAAAATTTACTTTATTGCGCGATAAAAGTACAAGATGTCTTGAAAATCGTTCGCTTATATTCGAGAATAGTATGATTCATTTTACCATAAGATAATAATTGAATGATAATACTTGACTGAATTTAATATAATATATTTTTTATGTTACACCTTCGATATTTTTTACTTTTAGGTAAGTAAAGTTTGTCATAAGTTTAGAAAAAAACAGCCAGAATATTTTTACTAGACTTGTAAGATTATTTATTCTTCTTCGTGCTACCAGTCAAATAATTGCAGACGTCAACTAGGAAATTATAAAATTTATAAAATTATTAATAGCGAATCTTCTTGGAAAGTAGGTATTTTTGCGAATCGTTCTATAATCATTTTCGCATCATTTATCTCATCAACTTTATTACTTTCATTCGAGTTCCAACAGCATATTCGTGCAACCGGTTTACGGGCGCAAACATTTTTTTGGCCTCCACTTCATCTCATACCCTCCAAATTCCGAAGATATCGGTTGAACTACTTTGCAAGCTACGTATCAGCGAACAGGAATTCTCCGCTGATGTCTGCATCGCAGACAATCAAACATCTCATTCTCTCATGGAATGTTATTTCGCCATGCGAGTTATATCTTCCAATAGTATCCTCGTTGGCTACAAGTAGCACAATATAATCGTGAAACTTCATTCAAACATGTAAATGCAAAGAGAGGCGTGGTTATTTATCGAAATTACCCGCGACAGCTCGCCCACCATCGTCGAACAGACATCGTCGGCAAGCGGCAATTTTGTAAGAATACAAACAGTAAATAGAATACGAGGTAAATCATAACGCTGGCATTTTTATACCGTACTCAACTGACCGTGTATTTTACGATACATTCCGGTGTAATTCACGATTCGTGTAAGTGCTCGTTAAATTCTAACGCCACCCATATTCGCCGCTTGCTTCCCTAACGTCTCTTTGCTATTCACGTTAAAATCTTCAAGCCGCCTTCGCGTTTGCAAACGCATCGTTTTACGACTGTCTGGTAACGCCATCGCGAATCTTCGACGGCATTCGCGATCCTCTCGATTGATCGACGATCGAAAGGCGAATCGAAAAAGCAAAAATGAAAAACATCGATAGATATTTCGAACAGCGTTTTCTCAGCTGTCAGATATAAAAAAAAATTGTGTGAGTCTCACGGTCGCCTTTGTCGTATCTCCCGATTCCTCAGTTCGCGCTGAACGGATTCGTCCTAAGAAAGATCCTCTTCTTCTTTTTTTTTTTTCTTTCATTTCCCCTTCGTTTTTTCAAAGGATCATTCTCTTCTCATCCTCCCGCTCTCACTGTCTTCGCGAGGCTCACGGGAGCGGCGGTCGATAATAAACGATATGCGTCACACAGGCTCGCGAAATATTAAATACAGTCGCGCATTTATGACGGCTCCGGTGAGAAAGAGAGGGCCCGATCGTTGGGCCCTCGGAACTTAGTGGGGGAAAAAGAATCAAGAAGAAG